CCGGCCGCCCCCGCGTCCTGGCCGAGGAAGGTAACGCAGGGGAGACCCGGATGCGACTCCGCGACAGCTGCCCCGTCCTCCCAACCCCCGCGGCCGTGACCTTTGGCTTTTCGGCCCCTGGGATCCAGCTACCCCCGTCCTTTGCCCTTTGCGTTGGGCGTTCTGGGGAACCCAGGGACTCGACCCCAGTTTCACTCGCCCTTGGCCCACTGTCCTAACGAGGTCGTCAGGGCATCTTGACCTTTGATTCTTGTTTCTTTTGGAACCCCCAACCCACTATTTACGATTTAGGGATTTTAACGTTTGAACTCTCTGTACCTTTAGTTGGAGAAACTTTTTCCTAGATCCAAAGCCCCAGTTTCTTTTTTCCTTAGCGTGTGATGTCTCTTTCACTTTTGACCTGTTGTCTTTCCAGCGTGAGACCCGTGACCACTGACAGTTTCCACTGACTTTAGGGTTCTTTTGCTTTTGGATCCCGGATTCCTGTCCATATGAGGACCCCCACAACAACCCCCCCACCCCACCCCCGCCCAGCCTACCCTTCAGCCTCCCTGGTCTCTCCTGCAGAGGCCTTTGGTGGCGTCGGGGGCCATAGAAGGAGCTCCTCTGCCAGCCCTTGTGAGCAGGACCGCCGGAAGGACTGGGGCCATGCGGAGCTGCTGGAGGGTGAGTCTGACCCCCAAGACTCGGGGCCTGAGCCCCTTCCTCACTGTCCCCCTGCCGGCCATGCTGCTGGGAGCCACCTCCCTACTTCCTCACAGTAAACCCAGTGAGGTGGGGTAACTAACATGGTCCCACCTCTCTGGTGGTCCGAGGGCCCGCTGTGCTGATGGCGTGAAGCGTGTGCTGTGCGCAGTGGGTTCTTGGATCCCTCCTCCCCAGAACCCGCCAGGCGCTCACACTTTCCAGATGAGGTAGTCAAGGCCCAAAATTGTGGCCCAAGTCCTGGCGGCCTCCAGAGGGAGCTGGGGGCATCTGTTCTTTCTCACCACGTCACTATCCTCTTCCTCCCAGATGTCCACTGTCTCCTACTTCCCTCCTGCCCAACGTTCCATGTGTGTCCGGCAGCCAGGAGTAGGGTGGGGGACCTTTAGAAAGAAAGACCTGATTTCAGGAAATGCCAAGCATATAGAAGTAAAGACACAAGAACCACCAGCTTCAAGAGCAGCCTTCTTTCATTTCTCACCCACCTAATTATTGTAAAGCAAAGCCCCGGTATCATTTTGCTCAACTGGAGAAAGTTTCTGGAAACTGAATCACTTCATGTCATTCTCCAGCCTAAAACCCTCCAACTGTTTCTTCTCTCGCAGAATGAACTCTAAACTCCCACTGAGGGCCACAGACCCCTCTGGGCCTTGGCCTGCCTCCTGGGCCTCTGCTGGCAGGGGCTTTGCACCTGCTTGTCCTGGGCACCTCCCAGGGCGCTGGGGTGTCCCTGCGCAAGGGAGGAAACCTGTGCCCATGTCCCTCTTCTGCCTCGGTTCCTGCCCAGCCCTTTCCAGCCGGACAGTCCCCCGTGTGTGTTCTGAATGCTCTTCTGAGTTTGGGCGCACCCTGGGGCCCGGGGCCACGCTGACTTTTCACTTGGTCTCTGCTTGGGGCGGATGTTCATTGAGAGAGGCACGGGCAGAAGATGGGTACTCTTGGCCCTCATGTTCCCAGATTCTGTGTTTGCAATCTCCTCCCAGCTGAAGTTTACTGAGGCACTTTCACGGTCGTGTGTAGACGTGGGTGGAGCAGCAGAAGCTGGAGCTGCCCGGCACCCACGTTCCCAGCTGAGGCAGTCGGGCGACACTGAAAACGGGTGTCCTTCTCAGGACATATGTAGTGCCACGTTTTTGCATATCTGTGCATGTTTGTTGGTGGTTTTGCTGTTTGAAGTGGCCCCCAGGCATGGTGCAGTGTGCTGTCTAGTGTCCTGAGCTCAAGGAGGCTGTAGCAACCTTTGGAGAAAATACGTGTGTTAGCCCTGCTTTGTTTGGGAGAGGTCTAGCAGTGTTGGCCCCAAGTCGGAGGTGAATGAATCAACAGTACACACGAAATGAGGTGTTACTCAGAGAAAGAGGTTGTATGTTGATCTGTTGGTGGAAATGTGACCAGAGGCTCTCAGGAGCCCAGTGTTTTCCCAGGATCATTGATCCACTGTTCACCAGCTCCGTGTCTTGCAACTTCATAGAACAGAACTGCTGCAGCTAATGGGAGCTGACTGTGAAGGGGCACAGAGTGGGGTGGGCCGTGAATTGGCCGGCGAATGCCTTCTAGGCAGCGGAACAGCAGGTGCAAAAGCCCTGAGGCCATCACAACTAGAGTAGACTTCGCAAGGGGGAGGGGCAGTGGTGAGGACAGTTGGGCAATGGGGTACCTGGGTAAATTCTGAACGCAGAGCCTGGAGGGTGTGCTGACCAGCTGGATGTTGGGGAGAGAGTTGTAGACAGGATTCCTGGTTAAGCCCTGGAGGGACAGAGCTGCCAGTGGCAGGAAGACACAGAGGAGCAGTTTTAGGGATCACCAGGAGCTTGTTTGGGGCATCGAGTTTGGAGGCTCAGGTGCCGAGTGGGTGGGCGATGTGTGCATGCCAGGTTGTTCAAAGGTGCTGGCAGACACGCAGGACTGAAGGCTCGGTTCTCCAGACATCAGGTTCCCTGACATCCCCCTTTTCCCCACAGTGCTCCAGGCCAGGGTGCGGCAGCTGCAGGCTGAGGGCGTGTCCGAGGTGACTGTGAAGAGGGTGGTTGTGGCTCGAGCCCCAGAGGCCAGCAGCGCCCAGTCCCCTGGGAAGGCCCGGGCAGGGGCAGAGGGGGCTGCCCCCAAGCTCAGCGGCCGCTGGGCGCAGAAGCTGGACAAGGAGCAGCGGCTGATGCAGAAGCGGAAGCAGC